TAATAATAATAATAATAATAATAATAATAATAATAATAATGCAATGATAATTTTTTGTAATTGCAGCAACTATAATACGAGTAATCATAATGGTAATAGTAATAAAGATAAGCATAGAGGATAACATAAATGATTACATTATTCTTAATGAAAATATTAATTTGCGTGCTAGATTTATTGTGCAACTTGTGAATGTGATAAGCGTTTTATTAGCATGTTTGTTCACTTCATAATTATAATTCATCTATGAGCTCATCTCTAATGTGTTCGCACTGTTATGTTATGCGAAGTTAAAGTGGCGCAACAAAGGAAAATACCGCGCAGTATGATTTAATTATTACTACTACATGTGTATTATACAATAAGATAGTCTCGACAAGTTGTTTACCTCATTTACCTCATAGAGTATGTTCAAGTACAGGAAGCAAGATTTTTTTGTATGTATTACTTTGAGTTGCTATTTCTTATTATGATTATTATTGTAACGTTTTGTGTTGAATAGTTATTGCAAAGCCTTTCTTATTACCATTACAATCGAAGCTTTTTCGTAGAGGAACTCATTAGTTTCGTTGTTATATCTTATATATGCGTTCGTATGCGTATTACTATTATTATTGTTAGCATGTTTAAATTCATATTGAATTTTAGTGATGTCTCGCGCAATATCAACACAGTGTATTGGTATTATCTTCCAAAGCTTGACATCAAAACGTAAAAGTGGTCATCGTATATTTGAGAGTTTCATTGAGGTAAGAGATAAATATAAATAGATAAATTTTTATTGTTGTTATCATTCTTATTATGATCTTTGACAGGAGAATCGTTCATGCTTTTGGAATATTGCGTTGGTTGATGCGGTGAATAGTATTGAATATATTGGCTTTATGCGACCAGGGACGTTATTTGTATCATCAGTATCCGAAAGGCATTTAATAACGTTAAGATCGGCATGGGCTCGTCGTATACTGAAACCTGCGAAAGGATTTACAATCCTCTCATTAGGTATGTATATCACTAGTTTTATTAAATGAAAATCAATTGTTATTATTAATTGAGAAAGGTGCTGTTGTTATGCATGTTCATCAAACGGTTGAAAATTCGAAGGAATTCGTTCAACATTACGGAGAGTGAAAGCAATCAGGCTGCATCTGACGACTTATAGAAGTAAAGGAAATAAGATGATAAATAAATGGATGTGCGATATCCACTGTCCATTTATCCAAATATTTATTTGTATGAACATTCATCTCTTCACACAATATTCAGCACTATCAAACGAACATGTATGAAATTTGACTGCCTTCGTCTGTTCGCTGCTTTATCTGTTTATGGATGATGCTTCATTATAATCCATTTTATATCCAGCTATCTATGTGCTTATTTGAAGTATCGTCTACCAATAATTCCAACCAAATACGCAATATTCATCCATATCTATGTGCGCATTTCCTTATTTATCATCCCGAATGAATGAGGCTAGATATAAATATAATATGTGATCCATGCCATTTATTCTCTCATTTATTCACCATCACCGTCACTTATCCAACCATTCATCCATGCAACCACCCATCCTTATCCTTTCTCATTTGAGACCATAGATATGCATTCATATATCTGCTTCTCATCAGATAAACTAGTACATATGTGAGAAGAATGATAAAACATCAAGTGGCGCTTGACTTACGAAAGCCGTTCTGCCCAACAACAAGATAGCTGGGTGGCGGACTAACTGACCGATTGTTGACATCAGTTACAGCTTACTATTACGACCTACTAGTTGACGTATTATACACACTTTTTAAAGGGGCTAACGACGGCTATCCTTGGACAATTCAAAACTCCGTTCGATCTAGCCTCAGAGCTTAGGCTTAGCCACATAAGCTTTGGCTGAAATTCGGCTCAATCTTACGGTTGTTCTCAGCCTTACGCGTGTAGTACAATTCAGGCTGAACTGATCCATTCGGGAAAATTTGGCACTACCTCAGCTGGAACGTCGTCGGTATTTTTGAAGGAGTCCACTTAGATAGAGAGGGGCTTATTGCCTTGCAATCATTTTTTAGTAATGCTGAATGAAGAGTTTGACTTTCACATCTGTTTATGAAAAGAACATGAACTTGGAAGTAGGTGGAATATTAACAAATGCAGTCGATCTTTTGGTTAGAGATCAAACAAGATCTATGATAATTGAACACTTATTGTGAGACAATACAAAAGCGTTATAGTGAAGGCACAGAAACAAATGGAATTATATTTGATGTTAACTCAAGAAGATGCGACTTACACATGGCGCTTGCTGACCATATGTTTTATTACCGTCATATTCAATAGGTATTATGATTGATTAGGTGTTAGTGATTATTGCCTGTCTTTCATTCATTTAGATACTCATTGATTGATGGCATTTATTAGAAATACCTCTGATAATTGAACTGCTTGTTCGTATGTAATTTGCATGCAATATTCGTTATAAAATGATAATGATAAGTTTTTACTACACTTATCAAATGTCCTCAATCAGCAAATTTAACATTATCTTTTTAATAGGCTGGACATGAGAATACTCAAATCTTAAGATAACTGAAGAACTAAATGACAGGCAAAGAGAATCTGTAGATATTGTTGAGGCGGAGGTCTTGCTCGCGTACTTGACCTCAGGCTGAGAAAATTCGGTTATGGTTTGTAGGATGAGCGGTATATCTCAGGCTTTGCCTAAGTTGCAGGTATAGGCCTGTGACTGAAAAAACAAAATCATGCTTCTGTCTTGTTTTGTTCCATCTTGCCTTGATCTCTAGCGTTTCGATTCGTTATTGACTGGCTTAGACTTTTTGGTTTTGAAAACATCCGCGGATGGAGTGAAAGAAGGATGCATATATTTGGGTAAAGTCGAATAATAATTGCCTGATATAGTGATGATGATGGTCATGGAGACAGTGATGATGAAGGTAACAATTTGACTTCGTCAAAGCTGAGTAAATTGGGGGGATACAGGTGGCTATATTGTAAATGGATACGATATATTGGAATAAGGATAAGGATATGGATAAAGATAGAGAAAGTGAGGTGTGGGCTGCACATGGCACCTGTTGCAATGCTGTAATGTAAGGTGACACACATGGATGGATGCAGAATCGGATCATACAGTCAAGCAAAAGAATTGATAGATGGATATAAATATATATTATATAATGCATGCATCTATCTAAATTCTGTTATAGGAAATGATAATATGCCTATTTATGATATTATATGTCTGTTTATTGAATTATATTATATCGAAACGTTCATTATATTTATTTTGATGCTACATGATTGCACACATATGTACACAGGTGCTGCTGCTGCAGCATCATTTCTGCCCGACGACGCAATAGCGTGTGCAAGCATATTGTTGATTAGTTCGCTAATCGACAATTTCATTCCGTTTTTGAATCAACAGCACAAGCAGTGCTTATTATAAGCCATATTCAAAACATAAAGTATTTTTAATCGCAACGATACTGCAGACACGCTCTGACATATGAAAGCAACTTATTTTGTCGCTGATTGTAGACCGATCGAATTTACAAAACACTGTTTGTCATATTATTATTGTCATGAGTTGCTGTAGAGAGTATTTATTGCAGTGAGAATGATTACAATAGAAAGTAACCTGAAAAGTTATTAAAGTCATACATTTATGTGAATATATGAATATGAATAAGTATGCTTAGTGAACTAGATAATTTGTCTGTTGTGCATGGACGCTTGTTGCATCATCGCCGTCACAGTACGGTAATAACAGTCGTCGTAATCATATACTCCTTCTCAAATTCGTGCTCGCTTGTCAGATTATTTATCATGTTAATATTGCTTGTGACATTCAACAGTTATTATTAGTAGCTCCAATTACAATTTTCAATGTTTATGAAAATCTTCACATCAGCAGTAATGGTAATAGGGATTGAAATAATAATGTCAAATTAAATGCACACATTCAAATAGATTAGAATAAATTATGTATCATGATGGACTACTTGCTTAGTGGTGGTAATTTTTAATAGCAGCATAATAATTATAAGAAGAAGGCCAATAATGGTAACGACGGTATTTACAGAACGCCGATAATAGCAATAATAAAACGAACAGAAATAACAACAGGTACAGGACTATGTGTTATAATGGACCAATTGAAAATGGGAATGATGAAATGAAAAAAATATCAATTCAACTGAGAGATGATTTCAGGAATAAATAGGATAAAATTTTTTTCCAGGTGATATTGGAGGGATACAAATTCAAGAAGTGGAGCAATTTGGTTTTATCCCATTGGCGGATATTTTATGTGATATAATTGCACAATTGAATCGTTTGGGTGAGAAGAGTAAATATGAGACGATTAAACGTGTATTATTTGATGAATATTATTCATGTAACCAGCAAGAAGAGCAGCAAAAACAATCGAAATTGTCGAAACAAAATCATGCTGATGCAGTTAGCAATAGCAACAATACGAAACCAACTGAAGAGATATTGTTGCAAGCGTTAAATGAACTGTTGAAAGCAGGTGCTATTTATAAGATGAATGAAAACTTTTTTGTGGCCATACCAGCGACAACACCGTATCATGCACCGAATCTTAACGGTGACAATAAACGATCAGCAAAATGCAATGCTGAATGTCAAACTGGTAAAAGTATTATCAGCTCACCAACAGCTGTAGCTAATCAAACACTAATTCCATCACAACGACAAAATGCCCCACGCAACAACAATAACAACAAACATCGAAAAGGTACGTTCCAGACTGTATATTTTGGTTTATTTGCATGGTTGTTTATTTTCTGAAATTTATTTTTTTACGACAATTTGTTCAGTTGACCATATGTGAAGTGGTAAAATCAGTGCAGTGGTAATGATGATAGTAATAACAATTCAATTGATGAATTTTAAAGGCTTATTCGCTCGTTTATTCGCCAAGAAAGACGCGTCCACGTCACCATCAAAGGTTGCTCCCAAGCAAAAAGAACCGATCGTATTCTCAGCTCAGTTCCCACCACCCGAATGGATGTGCAATCCGAACCTTCTCATCAATAATGCTGATGCAAAATGCTTCAAACAAAATCCGTTAAATACAAAACGGTTTGTCATTTATTTATTCATTCATTTGTGCATACAATCATTCTCTCTATCTTCTAGAATCGTGCATTTTAAATTCTTCAATTTGAATTCACTTTGAAATTTAAACCAAAATATTATGCTTAAAAGACAAATAATTTGCAATGCACGTATAGTCATTTGTACGAGTGCAATTTAGCCGCTCGGTGTAAGCTTATACGTGAGCGTAAGCCTAAGCATAAACCTGAGTGAGTTTCAAGTGAATGAGGTTAACATATCATCGTGCGTTTCTTCGCTCGAAAATTGCGCATTGCTGACGGTTCTGAAGAGGTTGACGAACATTATAACGGAACTGGGTTGGCTTCCATCCAACACACTAGCACGTTTGCTTATGATCAACGATCGCGACGTTTCGTCTTGTTTTCGAAAAAATTGAGTGTGATAAGAATGTCATTCATAGCTGCACTGATAACTGCTGCGCAGTGCCACTTTGTAATTGATAACAGTGACTATGATAAATTTAAGATGTCATACATGTGTGTATGTGCACGTGTGAGTGCTTTTGCATAATTATTTTGCGTGTTTGTGATTTGCACTTATCATTATTATCGTTGTCATTATACAGTTGATATGATTGAAATGTTTCAGATTCTGTACGTTCGCCGAAAACTTGTGTGATGAAGCAGCATTGGTTAGTGGTGATGACCCCGCGAGTGGTTTGGACACTAAACGACGTTTGTGCGCATCGATAAATCATCAACGATTCAAACAACGTCGAGCCGAACGACACCACCTGTTATCGAGCAGTTCAGAATGTTTGAATTATGGTCCTATTGATCCACCCGAGTTATTGCCGCGTTTCGCAGATGCTGAAATAGTTGACGATTTGAGACGAAGAAGGCGTCGAAGACGAACGGGAGGTGGCCACGGAGAAGGAAGACGATTCAGAGGTGCAGCGCTGGGATCAGCTCAGCAAGAGCCTCTACCTGGTACGGTGGCCAATTTTGGTGCTGATACACAAATTGTTGGTATTGTTGCGAACACTGATACAGGAAAAACATTTGTTGCTGATTGCAAAACGAAAAGACGTTCAGATTTACAAAATGTTTATGGTGGTGCTGAATTGAAATATTTTGATGCAGAAGAACGCAATCATCAGCAAGAAGAATATGAAGATTACGGAATTTATGTAAATCCTGTGGCAATTAAAAATAACAGAGAAAAAACGCAACCGAAAAACGTAGTGATGCGAACAGAGAGAAACGTTCCAAAACAACAACTAATCGATGAAAAGCTCGGCACTCAATGCCAACCTGAGAAGCAACAGCAACAACAACAACAGCAACGAAGAAGAACAAGAAGAAGAAGGCGATCAGACTGGTTCATCGCTACATCGTCTTCACTTTCCTCATTGTCACTTTTTGCCAATAACCCCGTCACTATTGAAAATCCTCGACAAATCAGCACCAAAAATGATCACATCGCTCCGAAATGGTCCGTCGTTGAAACAAAATATCCTCCTCCTCCTCCTCATTCTCGTGTTCGCCATACCAACAAAAGTACAAAACCTGCACCGTTGGCATCGTTGGCTCGCACTTCAACGCCCATAACGGCGACGGTTGAGCGTCGCCGTGACGGTGGTTCAGATTCGGCTTATTCACTATCGCCGGTCGTCACCGACGAGCTGTCTGCTGGTGCTGTTGCTACAGCATCATCGACAGCTTCTTCGGCTGGAGCGGTAGCGATGATGGCCGCAGAGGAGAATTCAGAGAATGAGACGGCAGGGTTAAATTTCGTTTCGAAATCAGTGCGGCCGCCATTATCATCAGAGCAGAAAGTAATTGCTGAATTCAGGCGTAGAGCTGATTCAGTTGGTGTGATAGGGAGGAATTGTGATGATTACGGTGACGATGAACTGAATGAAAGAAACTATGAGAATCTGATGCATATGAGACGTGTGCATTATCATATCGATCACCGGGCGAAACGATCCGATGCTAACGCAATCGCTGTTGAAAGCTCACCATATGTTTATTTGTATCGTCATGATCCACCTCAGCAGCAGTTAACAAAAGCAACAACAGGAAATGAAGAACTACGAGACCAAGATCGTAGACATGTTCATATTGAAAACGCTTTGCATTATCGTAATCATAATGATTCGAGCGAACGGAATGCGTGCAGTCAAGAAGCAGATTTAGCATCAATATCACTGCGAGTGCGACCGTCATTATCGAGACGGCGTTGCGGTAGTTGGTCAGGTAGTGATTGGAATACTGCTTGGACAACAACTAACGATGAGTGGGAAGAAGGTGAGGAGCAAGAGGAAACAGGGATAAGAGGAAGAGGTCAACAATTGAGTCATAGATATACAAATGGAAACGATATGTTTTTGAGCGCTACCAAGAGGGCAACACACAATCACGGAGCGAAATCGAAACAGTCAAAACGATACTCAATCGATGCTAATGCAACAGCGAATGTGCATGTGAATCTGAATGCGCTTAGTTCGAATGACTATTGTTCTATGCAGTTCTCTCGTAGTGTTGATAACGCTTGCAGTAATGAGAGTTTATTAACGAGTGATAGTGAGGTGATGGTATATGGCGATAATGATGGGGATGATTGTTGTGCGGCCGAATCATCCAACTCAACCAACACATATGATCAGCATACTTATGTGAACATTGATAATGAGGATGAGCAGAGCACGCAATTCGAAGAAATCACACAATTGGAACGTTTGTCGCCAACTGCTGATAATACTGATAAGGAAAAGGGAAAAAACACTGATAATGATTTGATGTTAAAAGCAACATCAACAGCAGCAATAAATGATGGAGAAAGGAGCGCGGACAAGGTCATTCGAATACTGCGTTATTCGAGGCATGAAAATGTTGAAACGAATGCAAATCAAGAAGAAAGTGAAAAAGAAGATTTCATTAAAAAATTTTAGGAGAACAACAGGCAAAATGAAGCAAATCTGCGCACTAGTTTAGTTAATGCCCCAACTAAGATAAGAGAGCATCAGAAGAACGCGTAAACACATATCGCACCTCAGAAAAAGTTTATGGATAATAAAAATTTGTGTTCAGTGTAAATCCGATGGCATATTTAATGTTCTATGTGTATAGCGAGAAATAAGTAATTGTGTAATGACTCATTTGTATGCGATGTTGGAAAGTTGAGCATTATCCAAATCTATGTATGGGTTAATGTTTGATGTTTTAATCATTCGTTTTTCGACGAAATGTAACACTTTCGAAGTTTAGTATTTACGAGAAAAACAGCATCGAAAGTAGTAATGATTATTTCAAATGTCGAAATTCGATCACTTTCCACTATCATATTGTGTAGATGAAGGCGTTGATCAATATTATTATGTGCTTGACGGTTATCGTTTATGAGTAATACTGTAATATAGGACAAATGAATCAAGGCTTATTAAGATCATTCTTTCAGTACTTGTTTCCTTATAATATTTTTCGATATCTTAATCTGATTTATTGTTATTATTATTATTATTATTATTATTGTTACTGTTATTATTGTAAACATTATATATTTTGTTACAAAAATGGCTGTGTGATTTTTGTTTAATGATGACTGTAATGATGGTACGCCTTTTACTAAATTTGGTAATGTATTTGTGAGAGTAGAGGATTGTACCAATAAATATTCATTTATTTAAATAATATCGTTGCTATCATTATTAATATTATTACTATCATAAATAAAATGTTCTCTAATGCGTTTTTTGAAGCAGCATAAAAGATATGAAAGTATTTGCCAGCTTTGTCAATGCATATATCTGTCGAAGTATATTTGTTGATGAAACGAAGGTGTTGTTGTTGTTGTTTTGATAGGTGTTATTAATTGTTAGCTGCTAGACAAATTCAGATGTTCCATAAGGATAAATTGTTGGTTAGTATAATATAACAATGATATAAATGAACATATAATAAAGGAAAGCAGGTGGTTCTATTATCATATTTCACTATTGCGTTGATTTGTTTGTTGTTAATCAAATATATCCAGCGAGACGAGATAAATAATGAGAGAATATTGTGGTGTGTGTGGGCTGAGGACAAACTAAATGATTTGACTGATTGTGAGTGTGCTGAGATATGAAATAATAATAATAATAATGATAATAATAAATGATTTTTAATTTAACAAATAGGAGAATCAGCGTAAAAATTAAATGAAACCCGGGCAGACACAACTACCGGAGAATTTTGAATGGTTTAGTGAACAAATCGCCGGACATCATCCATCTGTTGTGAGGAATGGGGAACGTGAAATTGGTATATTATTGTAGCATATTAATCATATTCGTTTATTAATGATTATTATTATTGATATTACCCATACATTATCATAGTCAATATTCTATAATAATAATTATTACTATTTAAGGTTTCATAAAAGAGAAGGGGAGTGAACTGCTTATGAAACCAGTCCAGGAGGGCGTCCGTGGACAATGTGAGGTTTGCCGTAATCTCCACATAATTGACGTCTAAAATCGTTGAATACATTTAGTCTATTAATAAAAATAATAAATAAACGAATGAATTTTATTATAATGTTTATTGACGAAATTATAAAATATTGTCATTATTTGTGTCACAGTTTTTTGGTGCTCCTAACATTGTTATATGCATGATAGCACTGATGATTCAATTTTAATGTTTTTTCAACATTAGGTTGCTGTATATGATCGTATAAATGAGTGGATCTTAAACGATGTTTTATCGAGGAATAATAATAATAATAATTCAAGTAAGTTTGATAACGATCGGAACAGGGAACTGTTTATTCGACTCGCCAAATTTGTACCGAAATACTTCGGTCTAAAAACCATCTTCATTGGTCCAAAAGGTGAGTTATAACCTATTTTTTATTGATGATATCGTAATATAAAGCATAGTTATACACTACTGTTATTAATAATGATAGTAATTATAATAGTGATACTGAAGGTGAATATTAGCATAAGAAAATCTAAATCGTTTCATCGGTGATGATGCTAATAATAATATTAATAATAATGGCATTAATAATAATAATGATAACAAGAATAATGAGCATTATTTAATCTATTCAATTTTAATCGCTAAGTGGTATTATGAAATGATTAGGCATATGTTTTGAACGTAGTTCAAGTGTGCATGAACTGAATAGCACTTGAGTGTATGGTCAGTAGAGTGAGTGATTAATAATGCACCCATTAAAGCGAAACAACTGTAGATTAATTCTTATATAATTGTGCTGTTCGTTATTGATTATTAATGATCACTGTGGCATGTTCAAAGTTTTGCCTCTAAATTGTCGTTGGTCATGACGATCACTGAATGGGGAAGACTTTTTCCTATACTGTATCAAAATACGGTACTAGGTCGTGGTTAATAACAGCAATAACAGTAATACTGATAATAATAATACTAATAATAAAATCTTCAATTACAATTCAAAAAATGCATAATTAGTCGTAGATGATATCGCGATAAAATCACGCATTTAGATGATATGATAGTTTCGTGTCTGCTCTCTCAATCTCTTTATGCATTCATCTACCATACTTCCGCTTGATTATTATCAAATCATACGCATTAATCCGCATAAATCCTCTTAAAGTGAACTTAACGAAGGTCCTTGACCGACCAATAGTATTCACTGTCTATTAGCTTTGATTTTAGATTCGAATAATAATTAAAGAATAATAATAGATGCTAGACAATTTGAACGATCGAGCTGACAGGTAAACTTAACTTAAAATAGTAGAATCGAGGGATGTTGAGAGGGAACAGGTGTGAACGATTAATTAGGCAGTATCAATGAAAATGGTTATGGTGATGACGGTGATTCATATTCAGAAATGATGTGACTGTTTATTGGAAACATTTAAAGCATTTCATCTCTTCAAGACGTAGTCATCATAGCTGTTTCAAAGTTGTTTAATTAAAACAGAACGGATCAAAATAAAAATTGGTTCCTTTGCGCCTCGTTATAGTGATAACGGAATAAACCGAAAAATGGGTATTTTTAAATAAAATATTGATAGCATCCATAACAATTCTTACTGAATTATTGGATTGGTAAATTGATGAAATGGTTTAACCATAACTATTTTTATTGCAAATTATACACTTACATAACAAATAAATGTTATGTGAGTATACGATTTGCAATTGATCCTGGTGAACATTAATAATAATAATAATATTATTATTATTATTAATGTTATTATTATTATACGTAATAGTTGTGAGAAACGGAATTTATTGCTGTTTTTTGAGTAATGGCACACTTGAAAAAAAATTTTATTGCAATCATTAATTATAATTAGTGGTGTAGGTTGTAATTATAAGTGAGATCAATTTATGAAGGTAAGTAGTTGTGCGGTACTTACCTTTGAAGTTTACTAGCAAGGCGCATATACCTCTAGTAGTTACGGTATAATAGTAACGTACAAGGTATAATAATAACAAGTATAATATTCATAGCTGTTATCGCACCTAAGTATCTACATATGTTATAATGCCGCATCATGAGTAGCGATAATCGCCGTGATTATCAATCAATTAGAAAACCAAATGAATAATTTGTTCACATATTTTTGACTAGTTGTGGGAAGGAATGGGAAGAGTTCATATTCACAAGGAAGTCGGGTTCTTCAAGAAGAAAGAGAAGTGATAATTTTAATAATGACGATGGATGAATATGAACTCGTTAAGTGATTAATGCCTAAAAGTAGGTACATATACACGTGTGAAAATTTATGTTCGACATTATTTTTTTATTTATTATGCGTGTTATCAGTAACGTTGCTGTCATCGTTGTTGTTATCACAATAGTGGGTGTTGTTAATCTTATTAGTCAAATTCAAAGAACAATAGTAATAATGATAATAAATAATAGAGGTGCAATGTTTACTGCTAGAAGATTTAACGTACCGCTATAAGCAACCATGCACGATGGATATCAAAATTGGGAAGGTCACATATGATCCAAATTCAACGCCTGCAAAACGCCGTTCCGAAACAATCAAGTATCCTGAGCAAAAAATATTCGGCTTCAGACTTCTGGGTTATCGAGTATGTTTTTTATTATTCACAATTGTTTTTATTCATTACTGTCATTATTATTATTATTATTGTACAATAATATTATTATTATATTGTATTATCATTTCATTATTATATTGTATTATCATTTCATTATTATATTGTTATATAATAATAATAATATTATTATTATTATTATTATTATTGTGCAAGGTATTCAAAAGTGCAACACGTTGTTCTTGTTCGTATTTGATCACGTTAATTATAATCTTTTAGCGAATCTTTTTTTGCTCATCTAATCATCTGATCATCTCTATTCACATATTCTTTAGTTTTTCCTTTGTTTCTTTCTCTCTTCATCAGATCATCACTTAACGATCACAGCTTTAATTGTTTGACATGCTACCGATTGTGCTAAAGGAAACATCTGCGTTCATTTTATTTGTTTGTTTTTGTGAACAAAACGATGTGTGCGTGTTTGTGATAGATTTTGAGCGAGATTTTATTACAAATGAATAAGTTGTCGGCAGCAAATGTCATTCGATTATTTTTTGACTGCAGATGCATTGTGTGGAAGGGAGACCACCAAGGGTTCGAGATAAAATGTGGGGACGTTCGAGGACACTGGAGAATATTTTGGAAGGTGAGCACAAAATATTATCATTAAGCTGCTCATTTATTTTTTTGTTTTTATTCATTGCTGCATTCTTTTATTCATCTTCAAATTCTAGTTTTTCTACATCATTTCCACTTATAATATGTATATTCTCATGCTCATTTATTCATTTGATTGACCATTCAGAAACGATAATAACAGTCTTAGTGAATATAATAATAATAATAACTGGCAGTCTGTAAGTATGAACGTCATTATATTGTCAAGTCATTCAGTTACGCAATAAATCAAGGATAAAAGTTACGCATTAATTAATGGGTATTATTACTTATGATATACATACTTAAGTAATGCAGTGTCTATTCTGCATTATTTTGGGGAATTTAATAGAAGTTGAGGATTGTAAACATAATTATTACTTATTATTATTATCACTATTATTGTTATCATTATCATTAGCATTATTGTTACTATTATTGTTACTATTATTATTATTATTGTCATTATTATTATTATTGTTATTGTTATTATTATCATTATTATTATTGTTATTATTATCAGCGTTATTATTTTAAAGCATATGCTGAGTTCTTATCTGGTCGAATCGGTGAGGAAATGCGTGTTGCAAGTGAAATATTGGAGCAGTTGCATTCGATACGAGAATGGTTCAATGAGCAAACAGTAAAATATTTTTATTAATATTTTAATATGTCCAGTGATGGGCACGTTACTGAAAAACAATAGCTCGGCTATCTCTAATCCGCTGAAAAAAGTGTTTGGCTAGTGAAAAAATGTCCTAACGTTATTACCTTACCTTGCGACCTGTCTTCGCTCTCTGTGTAGGCGCAGGTCTATCGATCCCCATGTTACTCTTTGTTGAGTAGACCTTTTCCATTTCTGAACAAACATTCTTACGAGTGGTTCATCCCATCTCATTCGTGGTCTGCCCAGGGGCCTAACGTTATTATCGCCAAAAAAGTAGCGAAACGCTATCGTTAAACCACAAATTGAGCAAAATTAGTCAGTTGTTCACTGAATGTATCCACATACATATGTATTATTAATTAATATCAGTATTCTTATAAATATTAGTGTTGATATCAATTTACAGATTTAAAAGGTTAATGAAAATATAATTTAGATTTATCACTTTTATGCCTCATCAATATTAATTGTGTACGAAGCTTGCATGGATCGTCCGCCGAGAGTTTGCGTACGTCTAATTGATTTTTCGCACGTTTTTTCTGCAAATGGTCTTTGTGATGAAAATTATTTATTTGGACTAAATAATATGGTTGACTTCATCGAGAAATTTATCGACCTCAAAGGGGAGGAAAAATTGAGGAACGGTAATTAAGGCTTTATTTATTTGTTTATTCGATGTCATTATTGATATTGAAATTGTTGTTATTATTATTGTTGTTATTCTTGTTATTGTTATTATAATTATTATCATTATTGTTATTATTCTTGTATTTGTTGTTACTGATATTAATTTTATGATCAGTCATATTTTCATTGCTATCATTAACGGTTGTTCATTTTGTTTTTGGTCTGTTGTCATTATTTTTGCTGTTAATATCGTAATTTTATGCAAACAGTCACACTTTCGAGAGCAGTAGTAATGATGATAATATGTTTCATTATTGTTATTATGATTATTTTTATAATTTATCGTTGCTTTTGTTCACAGATTTATTATTGTTCATATTATTACTGCCATCATTGAAATATTGATGAAAAGTTTCAATGTTGACAATTAAATTTAAAAGAGCGTTTGCATCACTGACTGTTGGTGAACGCTTTTATCAGTGCAAAGCTCGTACGATTGATTTATAATCGATACCCATCCATGATTCAATGTTTAACCGAATAATTTTACCAATTGGTATTGTTTTCGATTTTTTTGGGTTTTCAGCGATTAAAGTAATAACTCATAATACATTTATACCTCTTTGCTGTCATCAGCAATATCACAGATTGAACGAACAGTATTAGTCGGTCATCTGTCTATCTTCATGAAATTTAAATTTTCATTTTTGATTTGGTAATCAATAGAGGTATACGTGAGGTAGATAGTGTAAAACTAAAATGAGGTTGAAAGGCAGCCGCGTAGTAAGTAGTGCAATTTCACAATATGAGTGCAGTTTATGGTTGCTTAGAGTCGAATTTAGGCATAAGATTCAGAACTTGACCATGTTTACATTCCCACCGCACAGTCATACGAACTTTACAAGGATCTGTTTTGAGGTTTTTTGTTGAAATATTGGCTGAATTTATTCAAATCTTTCTGTGTCATATTCATCAACTATGCACGGTCACTTTATTTATTTATTTCTGTTTTTTATTTATTTAAATGTATGCATCTAATTATATCCATACATACGTATATTTGTTTTTCAAATTATTCGCGTATGCACGGTTTTGCAATTTTATTCGGGTTTCATCTACATTTTCCCTGTTTTGTCACCGTTCAAAATTTTTCTTTCGTTATTGTTATTATTATTATTATTATTATTATTATTGGTGATGGTGATAATTCGTCGTGAGTTTATTTGCATTAATTTTTCCTACAATTTAAAAAATAATGTGATAGATTGATTGAATAAAGAACTGTTCGTTTTTTGTTCTTGGTGCGTTCGCTCGCTCTTATCATTTTTTGATGTTAGCAGCAGAAGTTGTTTTACTGATTTCTCCGTTGTAAATCGGTGACTGAAAAGATTTCTCTTTCAAATTTTTTCTTCACTTAATACTTTTATAGTTCATATGTTCATGCGTATTGTTAAGTACAATTCTTGTGCGTCAATTCTTTGAGTAATTTAAATTTTATTTCATTCACTTTATCGTCTGATGTTTGTTTATCCATAAGATGATAATCATTAAGAGCCGTCACATTGTTCTTAGACTTAGGGGTTCGTTGAAAAAGAATAGTTTATGTCTGATTAAATCAAAAACAAGTTTACTCCATCATCCAATTAGAACAGTACCAAAACTGTGCGTGTCACAAGCAATCCTTTCTACAGAATCTATACGTTCATAACAAACAGTAGAGCAACTTGGCTTATACGGAATGAAATCTTAAGGTATTATGTTGTCTGTCTTTAATGCTGTATTATGATGTCAAGGTAAAATGATAAGAACGTCTTAAGTTATGAGGAATAAGGAATTTATGCGTTACGGTATAAGTTTAAGTTGATAAATGTACATTTTCTAGTATTTTATCTGTATTACACCGATACATTATGATTACAAATAAATATGTTCGTACTCAAGTAAATGAGAATAATTTTGAAGATTATTCCATAATGTTCAAGAAATTCGACGAAAAAGATGATATAATTGGTTCACAACAATTGAAAACTTCCACACAGGTTGGTTAATTCGTTGCCTCTGTGTGTGTGTGTGTTTCTGTTTATGATTCCATCAATGACTCAATTAAAAATGAATGGTTGTTCGATAATACAAGTGTTTTGTAGAGGGGAATTCGCGCTAAAATACAAGAGCAGTATCCATTACTTGAGCCTTATATGGCCGATATCTTGCCGAAAAAAGAGAATTTTAAATTGATCAAATGCAAAGGTGAATTATTACTCTTGTCGGTATTATTGTTATATTGCAGCTGTAATATTTACTATTTTGTTTTATCTGACTCAATAACACGAATGGTGTTGTCGATATTAAGACTTCTAGATCATGTGGAATTGATCGCCGACTCAGAGGGAAATGTTTTATTTGTGAAGCCGAGGGATCTACCGTATATTCCATCGTTAAGATTACTGCATAAATATCCGTTTATGATGCCTCAGCAGCAGGTTTGTATGTCTACTTATTTACTTCATTTATTGTCCGTTCGGTGCAAACCAATAGAATACGGACTAATAAATTGCGACTTTCCACTAATAACAGAATATAGGTCTGAATTGTAAAACATAACAACCAGGTTATTGTTATTATTATTGCTGTTGTTATGCAGGTGGATAAAGGTGCAATAAAATTCGTATTAAATGGCTCACAAATTATGTGTCCCGGTCTCACAAGTCCAGGCGCTAAAATGACGGATAATATTCCGAAGGATGTGGTGAGTGTTGTCGTAATTATTGCTATTACAGATTATTAGGATTATATGTTGTTTTTATTTATTGTTTATTATTCTTATTAAGATGATTGTTATTTTTTATGAATCATTTTAAATTTCATAGGTCGTTGCTGTGATGGCTGAAGGTAAGCAACATGCATTAGCAATTGGCGTTATGAAGAAGTCAACTGAGGAAATTCGAGCAATAAATCAGGTTTAGTTTGATTATTCAATTATTTTTTAAATTATCGTTGTGACTTTCATTGCACTTACGAATAATTGTTATTATTATTTTTAAGGACATTGGTATTGAGAACATACATCATTTGAATGATGGACTCTGGAAGGTACCTGTGGTGTTATAAGAAATGAAGTAGGAAATATTTTATATTGGAAGAATTATTATATTATTACGTTACTCTTATTATTGTCATTGCATTCGTCAATATAATTGTCGTCGTTATTTTGATTGTTATTATCAGCGTTATTTTCATTATCGCGATGATTGTTATTGTTGATGTATTTATTAGGGACGTTTTGGTCAGACCGTGAAAAGTTTTCATTTCGATTGCAGAAATACGCTGAAAATTACTTTTTTCCCGCTAAATTTGTAATATCGGATGATTCGTTTATTTGTTCGCCTATTTTATTGCTTATTTATTGGTTTTTGTTTGTTTACAAATTTATCTGTCTGTATTTTCGTTTTGATAAAATGACGTTGTGTTGATAATCATTGGTTCGTTTTGGTCAGTTATTGAGATGGTTTCATGGAAGCAGTGTTACAATTTATACAGTCCATCTTATTGTGCATTGATGGCGAATCTGATGCTGATAATGTTTTATCATTGCTGTTATTACTATCGTTGTTGTTATTTTTACTATGTTGAATTGATGTTTGATTATGAATAATAAACGGCAATTTTTTACAGTCAGTTTCAGACGGCTGTTTATTTGGTGTACGATTCTTTCAGAGGTTAACATTTATGCTTTTGTTCATTTGCGTATTTATTTCGTGGATGTGCAAGACCCACAGATCCACCCATCTATCGTTCCTTTTAAACAGTCAACCTTTTCAATTGTGCACGGTTGTCAGCGATTACTTAAAATTGCACATAGCCGAACACAGTATTTGCCACATTTTAGCCGACTCTTCTCTAATATATTCAGCACCTTATCCTGCTTTCGTCGTTATGTAAACATTTCGAATGACGATGGGTTCGTATACATATATTCTTTGAAAAAAGCGTCAAATACATACAAACAAATATTATGTATAGAAATGGAACAGATGAATACATAAACACAGACATTTAGTTGCATACTCTTGGACTGATCAGATATCTACCTGCTGAACGAAATATGCCAACTAACAGCCAGATCGAAAGTCTAGGCGGCTAGTTATAGCAGGTGGAAGCAACAATTGTAAGCACTTAAGCCGGTCTGCTCACTTCAGCGTTTATTCACTTCTCATACGCGAATGACAACGAATGAACATCATCGTTATTTTGTGCTTCCTTCCCTCATTCAATCGCGCTTCTATATAAAAACGCACTTATTCTCTACTTTTTGCATTTAGCACACTGTCATCATCACCGAAGACGACTCTTTTGAACATTTCAATTACTTCACTTTACACTTTTACTAATTTACACTTATGCACCTCATAAACTCGTATCATCCATAGTAAACTGACAAAATTGAATGTGGTGTTCACTTATCGATATATTCATTTCATTAATTGCTTCTTTATTTGAGTTGAGTTGAGTTCATTAAAGAATACTTATGCTCATTTTCAATTGATTCGATTTTATTTTTTCGAAAATTTGAAAATTCTTGTATTCTTGCATATATGTATCATCATTTGTTCATTTTGTTTTATTTTATTTTAGTTGAGTTTATTTTATTGATTCATGTATTGTCATCATCTTTATCGTTGCAAGTTATGAGTAATGACCTTATATCTTATTTCGACTCGTTTTTGTCAATGGTGAGCAGCACAATCTAGTGTTGTGCTAGGGGTCCCCGAATTCGGAGTCCTCTTCTCCGAATCCCCATCCCCAACCTTTTTGGAGCCGCGGACATTTTCGGGGGCTGCCCCCGTCCCTGAAATGTCCCTGATTCTCCACGTCCCCGACTTTTTTCCTTCCCCGCACAACACTAACACAATTTATCGCAATCCAAGCCCTATTTTCTTCCTTCTTTGCGCATATTGTTCCCATTTTAAAGCGAATATTTTGAGCAAAACTCTATCAAGACGTTTTCATTATATGAACATTTAATGCAGTAAGAGTGTTAGCAGAGGGTTGAACTGATCTTAAACGTGCAATTGATTAGCAGTGCTAGAAGATGTATATATGGATGGGTGTTAAGCGTAAAGCCTTTTAGAGCAATAATAAGACAACAGAGAATGATGACCATTAAGTCCATTTAGGGTCGTTTAGTTGGAGACAATCAATGACTGATGAATGCATATTTACGCATCTGCTTGAAGTATTATGTAATATGATGATGATATTACTTTTCGTCATATAACTAAAAATGTGATATTGTTTGAAAATGAATCAATTAATGTTTTGGGGTAGAATAGAATTAGATCGGAATCAATCTCTGCAAGATTAAATATTAAGGCAATAAGTTGAAATAAATGCTTGTTCGATTTGCTTTCATCTCTTATCTGATACATTTGATTGACAGAAATTTATTTATCTCTTCAATTGATCATCATATTCATTTGAATTGGAGTTATTATTATTGCTGCTGCTGCTGCTGCATTTCGGGCTTAATCTCTTTTGTTGAACCAACGACGAACAACACTGAGCTAACTGACTGACTAGATGCTGTCCAACATATGCATATATTACAAACCATCTCTCAGTTTCTTATAACAATTACTTACAAGTTACGATATTTGTGTGTGATCTTGGTATTTCCATTCAATCGACAACTCCATACTCATCGTTGTTAGTACTCTGCTTGAGGCTGCTGCTCTAGCCCATTATTAATCTATTAATGGTGACAGTAAAAGCAGTAACAATCCTGCTATTCATACTTATAATAATGATAATAATTCAGTTTAATGACTTTAGGCTTAGAAATTATATATTATGTTATAGTGATTACTTTTGCTTT